CCACAAGTGCACACCACAGGGCCTGGCTCATTAATTAAAATATTAATTTATGAACTAGCTATAAACTCAAAGCAAAGCTAAAATGCAATTATTTAAATGTAAAATAGAGTGTGAGCGGCTTATTTCAAGACTCAAAAACTAAAACCATTCCTTGTAAAATAGAAATTTAAATAGTTTGAAAAAGGGTTTGAGTTCTGTGGCAGCCCATCGGATTTGCATCTTGGCCATTTACTAGTGGTCTGACTAGACAAGTAACTTCTGGCCCTGCTACCTTATCCCAAAACAGGCATGTCTCACATGGTTTTCTGGAGGATTAAATGAGTTAACACGAGTAAAGGACTTAGAAACCAATCATGTTTGGTACAGAAAGTCTATGTTAATTAAGTCTTAGTTACTAATAGTAGGCAGGCAATACTTGCAAAAAAAAAAAAGAAAACCTTTCTGAATGACCAAGCCTAAAAATAAGAAAAGTGATTAGGACACAACCTGGAGCATGAATTCTCATCCCAACTGTGTCAAATATGAGTTACACCTCTCGGCTTTGTTCACATTAGATTTTAGGTCATGTAAAATTCTTCTCCAACATCTCCAATCATAGTCATTTTACCTAACAAAAATAGTAAAACTGTCTATAGTCACCCCCCCCTCTACCCACACCACCACCAATCTGAGATAGCACTTTTTTGCTTTTTATTAATAGCCCGACTTCAGACACTACCACCACTTGTCCAAAGAACACAGCAAGCACAAAAAGGTTGGTTTGATGGGTCTATAAAAATACCCAAACAAAATATACTTACAAGAACATAAACTTAAAATGAATTCAAGACTTGATAAACTACCAAAAATTAAAAGTGTTCCAATTTTAAGCACTTCAACATGACATCGACAAAGAACACAGAAATATCTTCCTATTTGGATCTTGTGAGCTTCAGAAAAGACTAAATTCAAAACAGGTATGCGACAAAAATATCTACAGACACTAATAACTACTTGACCCCATATTTCTCCAACAGAGGTGCCTAAAGTAGAGTATCCTCCCCCTTCACAGCTGTTCAATCACTACAATTCTGCTAGGATCTGGAATGTGTTTTTAAAAAGCTTCCTCATGTGATTCCGACAGTTAACAGTTAAAAACCAAACCACATGTCAAAATTTTTGATAAATGGGGACCAGCAGTTAGCATAATGGCTATGTCGCTGGACTCCCACATAGTCAACCACGGTTCGCGTCCCAGACCTGGTGGCTTAAAACTCACACCTGGAGCGTGTGTGTTAGTGCCCAGGATCCCAAGAGAAGAATGGAGGAGAAGGGACTGCGGCGTGACCATCCCCCCTGGGGGGTGATTTCTCGCTTTCTGTCTCTAGGTCTCTCTCTGTCTGGTGAGCACACACGCCCTATAGCGAAAACCTCCCCCCCCCAATTTTTTTTTTTTGATAAATGGAACCAGTAAGTCTACATAAACGTTCTTCCCCCTCTATTTGACAAGATTTTTGGTCAAGTCTCTGTAGGACTGTCCCTCGAAATATTTACAACAGGAGATAATCTATTAAGACCAGAAGTCAAAGTTCTTAAGTGAGAAAATATTTTGAAGATTATAAACTGTGATATTAAAAAAAGAAGTAATTATTGTAGGTACCATATAAAATACACATGAACACTTTAAATTTTTAAAAAAGTTTTATTTAACTCTCCTTGTTATTATTTTTTATTTTGAACAAAGAGGAGAGTAAAGAAAGTGAGAAAGCAGGCTGCCAGGTTCAGGATTCGAACCGCGGCCAGCTATATGAGAATCCAGAGCTTTTAACCAGCACGCCACCTGCTAGCCCCCACTTTTTAAGAATTTTACTTATTATTTTTAAAAATCTGCTATAGGGCAAAAATTTGCTCACCAGAGACAGAGAGAGTAGAAAGAAAGCAAGCCACCAAGCCTGAGACTTGAACCATGGATGGCCACATGGCAGTCCAGTACCTTAACCACTACGTCACCTGGCCTCCATATTAACACTTAATCCTCAAAAAGAAATCTTTGAATTTACACTTTGTTTTGCTCACTGCTGCCACTCCACTATCTACAACAGTGCCTGGTATATAGTAGGAAGACAACTATTTGCTGTTCGTCTATATAATAAACACTCATCATACACAGACACACAGATACACTTGTCTAGAGCTAGAATTCTAACTGGAGCATTTCAGCCCTAATGTTCACTCGATTTAACCATTATGTTATATTGCCTCTCTAGAGCTTTTAGATCATTCAAGTGGTGCCACAGCCACTTGGTATCACCCATAATAGAAAAGTTAATAGTTAAGACCTTCCTTTACAGCATCTGTCCCACACACATAAAAAGCTATGGATATGAAATTATTCCATTATCTTAGTGGCCTAAATTAATTCCCACAGTTAAAACAGTCATGATTTGTTCTACTAAATGTTACGTTCCTTCTATTAAATACATTGTACAAGTATGCTTCTCTAATGTGCTGAACTTCAAAGTAGTCACAGAAAAAGATTATAAAAATACCATCTACTTCATCGCCTAAAAAATTTTCATCTCAAAAATCTTCGCCGCTGACAAAGATTTATGTTGTGCATAAATCCACAACAATTCAATGACCTAAAACAAAATTTGACATTTCAAAATCTATACATTAAGAGTGAAGGTTTAAATCTTCATCTTTCATAAAACACCAGTTTTACCAAACTTTGAAGTTATACTACATAAATGCAAATTAGGGAGCATCAGGTACAGTCAAGTCATTGTCATTCCATCCATAAAACTCCCTAATCATCAACCTCCCTTATTTTCTAAAAGAAAAGCATAATTTATTCCATTACATTTTTTTCAAATTAGCTGTAAATACTCCACCCTCCTAGATTGTGCAAGAAGCAAACCTAGTACTCATACATAAGCTACCAAAAAAATGGAGACACAGTCAGAGTTTGAATACAGGTAAGTCATGAGAGGGGAGTGGGGGTCTCAGAGCAGTGCACAAACAGACGTAAAAGTTGGTATTTAACAAAGGTCATTATTTCGTATTATTACGAAAGGAGATGCCGGTAAGAGCTGAACCAGCTAAAGCAGCCGCCATCTTAAAATGCGGGACAGAAGTTCGAGCAAGAAATGAGACTAAACCACCGGAGGTGGTTCCGGCTCCCGCCCACCCCCAGCTTCGGAAAATCCTAGCTTCTCAACCTAGATCGATAATTTACTATCAAGCCACATTTTAAGTAGCAAAATAATCTTTCGCACAGATATTAAACAGGCGGAGGCAAAAATAGGTACACCTAGCCTTCCCTCCTGCCATTCCGCCCCTCCTCCCCCCTCCCCCAGCCAAATGGAAAAGGGAGCTTCCAGAAGGCTTTTACAGCAGTTCCTGGTGTGCCGCTGACAAATCGCTTCGGGTGAAAAGCTGAAACTACAAAACACAGGAAGCCGCAACACTGTGTCAGTCCACCTCTCGGCCCCACTCGCGCTTGTGCAACCTACCCGAGTCGACCGAGAGTTTGACCACACTCACTCCCTGCCCTTCAGCAGGCAAGAGGCTAGATTCTCCCCGACCCAGCGAAGTTCCAGGCTGGCCAGATCTCTCTGCTTCACCCACTCCGAGTTTCCGACTCCCCCCGTGGCCCCACCAGAAGGCCCTGAGCCTCGATCTTTAACTACAGTAAGTTTTCAAGCACCAAAAATAGGAAGCGCCACATCTGCTGGAGCGTCTCGCCACATTTCCGACCCCCAACCCAAACAAGACTAACTCTTCCTTCGGAAACAGACGACCCAGGCGTCTCAGCCACTCCCCACCCCTGGTTAAACCGACTCCCCCAAACACGGAACACCTCGCCTGCTATCAGTGCCCTGCTCCCCGGTTTTAAACCTCGTCTTCCCAAGTACACCGGCCTCCCCACCCCATGAAGTGACCCCGGGGAGGTCTTCCCAGAACTAGACTCCCTCCCGCCTCCACCTCTCGGGCCCGAGCCTCCCTCCCCTTCCTCCACGACCCTACTGCCTTCAGGCCCCACGGGTTACCTTATTAATCCGTTTCAGCGCCATAGTCTGTGCTTTTCGTCGGGCTCCTCACTATCTCGGTGTGCGCGCAAAGGTCCGGCCAAAACTCTTGATTATCCGGGCGTCGGGGAAAGATTGTCTCTTCGTCTCACACCGGCTCTGCCAGACACTGGCGCCTTTTGCAAAAACGGAGCAGATCAGCACTGGCCAAGGCCTCGCAGAGCCCCTGTCGAATCCAGGTCCCTGAAAACGGTCGCGATT